CCGCTGCTCCGGTGCCGCTGTGGCCAGTCCTAGCACGACCAAAGTCGACCCGCTCCGCTTCGTGCACGCTCTCGTTGCTGTCCATCCCAGTCGGTTTCGCGCTTTCTCCCTCGTTGCACTTAGGGTTCTTGGTCTAAAAATTCTCGCGCCGAAGGGTCAACCAGCCCAATCAGCTCGTCACCACCTGTCCCCTCCTCCTTAGATGGCAAAACCAGGTTACCGAGACAGTACAGCTCCCTCTAGCAAACCTAGGGCCGTGTATTTAGTGCCCGTCCACCTTTCTGATGACGTCTGCCTCCGCGCAAAAAGATGAGATGGGCATTGCTGCCTACACCGACGGCCTGGAGGCCCGCGCATCTGCACCTTTGTACCTGACGCACCAGTGCCGACCCAACTCCACCACTACGCACGCCTCGCGGCGGGTGCGCCGCAGCAAGAAGGTATCGATCCCTTGAGGGTGAGTCTAGCCCTGCTCGCTAGAAAGACCCCCCCCCCTCGCTATGGGTCATGCCTACGCAAAACCTTGCCGAGGCAGCGAGGGGAAGAACGCAGTAGAGTGTAGATGGCATGAAAGAGTGGAGAGGCTGGAATCGTCCGTCATCTTGTGTACGATCGAAAGGCTTGCCACGGTACAATGCTAAGCCAACACTGTGGGACACACGTGAAAAAAAGCTGCCTCAAGACTATGGTGGACAACTAAGGTTTGAATGGGGACAAAAGAGGCGTACCATCTCACATCAGAAAACCTTTGCACGAGGCGCGTGGCGATATCAATTCCACTGCCGCGTGTATACGGAGGCATTTTGAGACAAACTGTATAATCACCCGAACACTGCTGTTGCTCAACCAAACCCGAACCAGCCACACAGAGAAAAGTGAAAATCATAAGCCACGATATGATAGCGTTCATTTGCAGTAGCCTGCTGTTTGACCCACCCTAAGGTGCCCCTTTCCGACGGAACTTCGACGATCACCCCGTCTGCCGCCAGCTTGTCCAGAGTGCGGTTGGCCTTGCGGCAGTTCTCTCGAAGGGAGGTCACCGACTCCGACAGCTCCATGCACCGTTTCCTCGCCTGGGTTGTCGAATCATTCCAAACACCACGTTCGTAAACACATTCGAAGCATTCGTCGCAGTTTTGGTCGATGGCAGAAAGTCACAAGTGTCACGGCATGTAAGCTAGCGCAAGAAAAAACAGGCGAATCAATCGATGGTATCATCATCATGATCATCACCAGCAGCAGCAGCAGCAGCAGCAGCAGCAGCAGCAGCAGCAGCAGCAAGTGCCCTCCTGCGTGTCCATCGGTCGATCGCACCGTGCTGGATTAGCAAACCCATCAGCGACAGCCAAACTTCTTCTGCCACGCCCCGAGACCACCACCCACCTGCGTCAGCTCATCGCTGAGGAAATCCCTCTCCGCCTCCAGTCTCTTCTTCTTGCCCACCATCTCCAGCTGCGCCTTGTCAAGAGTGTCCCTCCGCGACTCGGGCGGCAGTGCCATCAGGTGAGCCTGCAGTGCCTGAAACAGCCTCCCCGCCAGCTCGCCGGTGAACCTCGCCTTCTCCTTGAGGGCCTTGTCCAGCTCCGCTATGTCGGCCGCTGCCTCCGCCTTGACGCTCTCCCGGCTCTTGAGGCCGTAACCGTCGGTGTCGAGGTCGTAGAAGGCGTTGCTGGTGCCGGCCATGCCTGCGAGACGTTCTCGGGCACTGGCCGCCTCCTCGCTCTTTTCGGGCTGCCACGAACCATGTGACATCAGAGATATATGACGTTAGAGATAGACGTGACGTGAGAGTCACGGTGGAGGAGGGGGGGGGCGTGTGCGGAAATCAGGGTGAATGCTGCCGCTGAAACGACGAGTGCATGATGCACGTGCCTTGCGTGGCTGAAACTGCTGGATTAACGAGGTTCGTGGAGAGCTCTCAAAAACACCCCCAGCCCCCATGTAATAATGTACCACAGCTTAAGAGCTGCTTCTGTTATGGCAGAAAAACGACGAGCAAGAGAATGGCGCGACGCTGGCTCGCCCATTAAGGGTCAATACACACACAGCAAGCTACTACACGTCTGCAGTGTGGCACACGACTTCCCCTACCTTCTTCCCCATCCCCTTGAGCAAGCGATCTCCGCAGGAAAACTCCGTGGCATCCATGGCGAGGATCTCCGCAGCAGGCATGATCAGCTTCTGCATGATGGACAGCTCGGAAGCCGGTTCTCGCCCCTCCACTGGCACTGTTGGGATGATTTAATTCACAACAGCCACGCAATGATTACAGATGTTGATGTTGTGCGGCAGCTGGACAACATTCCGAACAGAGCCGGCCGAAGAACAACTTGCTCTTGCGTGCAGTGCCCCTGAGCACGGTGGCTCAAACACATGGCATGCCATCAGAGGGCACACTGCAAGGAGGTGGCGTCACGTAGCATTACCGCCATGAGGCAGTACTACCCTGCTGGCCGCACAGAAGTTAACACGGAGCTGGTGGTGATTAAAAAAACTGGTCTCAAAGTTAGCTGGCGCCTGAACAGAAACATCAGCACCAGCAGCACCGAGATGTCTGCGACGAAAGCGCACGTTGCCTGTACCCGGAGTCCACTGCGTCGGCAGCAGTACTCTGTGACTCGACGGCCTGAGCGCATCTGACGTATTGGCATCCATGATGTAGTGTGAATGTGGCGTGTCGCTCTGCGAAAAAAAAAGAAGAAAAGTCTCGCCTGAGAGTCCGTCCTTCACGCTGACCATGATCACTTCCCCTTCCTCCTTGTTTTCGTCATCGTCGTCATCATCGTCCTTGTCATCACCACCGGGAGCTACGCTCACGTTCAGAGGTCGAGGGCCTAGCCCCAGTTCACCGGCTGCCGTGCTGAGGTCCGACAGCACCTGGTGTATCATGTTGCGAGAGAGTGGCAGTGGTTGCGTGAACGGGTACAGAAAAACACCGCGATAGGGGCAATGTCTGCAGCAGACAGTGTAGCTGCAGAGTTGTATTTGAAATCGACAGGAGGCTGCATGCGTGTGAAGCCTTGGGGGCGGAAATGGGGCTTCTTCTCAGCACTACCAACAAAACCAAAACAACGGCATGTGCTGTCCGAAAGGAGAACTGTAGGACACGGAGTGACGCACCGTACTGCTGTACCAGTAGAATGTATACCCCACGTACGCTACGAGCAAGCCGGTCAAAGGCGACGGTCGTACACGAACGAGGCTACCACGATAGTGCCGTGATTTCGTGTGTTCATCTTATCTCTTCTGGCACCAGTCTATACACAACACCTTCGGTATTAGCCGGGGTTTGCAACAGGAGCTCCTACAGTAATTGTTTGGTTCCTAAAAGTCGCCGTCCACTTGAAACTATTTTGCTGCGCGTCATCGGAAAATGGGCATGAGTCTCCACTCACTAGTCCAGTTAGCCGGCTCGCTTTCAGCAAAGATAGAAAAAACAAAAAATCCAGGTACAACCCACGAAAGACAAAAGCCCTCCAACACGAGCCACGCCTGCCATGCCCTAGACCCACCTGACGCCATGCGCGATTTACGGCCGACAGCGTCGCATCGAAGTGCCCCTGCCGAGCCCAAGCCTGGGCAAGCTTCTTCTCCAGCTCGGCCTCCTGTCGCTTTCTTCGGCGCATGTCCACCGCAAGCTCGTGGTTCTGCTGCCGGAGGATAGACTTGGCATCGGGGCCTCCGTTGTCGCCCTGAGGGGGAGGAGAGGGTGGAGAGGGAGGAGATGGAGGAGAGGGCGGAGAGGGACGGGAAGTACGAAGAGTTCGATATTGACAGCATGCCGTGCCAAAAAAGATGCACGCGCCGCTCGTAAAAGCGAGGGCACGCAGAAACATACCCAACATCGAAACGGTGACTTTGAGCAGCGGAGGGCCACAAGTCGATTCACTTTTGTACCTTGAGTGCTGGGCTATCAAGGTGGAACATATGTTCTCGTGCAAGAGACTTTGGCCTTGGAAGTGTGGCTGGTTGACGCTGCTGCATGCAACAAGCACCTTGCAGGCGGGACGTTCGTTCGCCCCTCTCAACCGAAGAGAGAGCCCATACCGTACATGTGCACACGAGATGGTACCGCTGTCGCGGAGCACAACTCTGCACCATCCTCCCAAGCCGTGTCTCACATCGCGGCGTGTTAGTCTCCAAGCGCTGACTGTCACCCTATCAATGCATGGCACCCCCGGAGGTTTAGTACTAGATACTACTTTAGATACCACGCTACCCTGTGACCACGATGGTCTACACTGATTTACTTGTACTCCATGTTTTCGTCATTGGCTCCCGCCGGCGGTCCCAAGCCCCAAGCTGGTACTGCTGGAAGTACGGCGGTGGTGTGTTGTGTACTTCGCTACATCGGTGTTTTCGTCATGTGCTGATGCTAGTCATGTTCCGAGCGGAAGCCTCGGGCAGACGGAATCATGCTTACATCTGATCCCGAAGAGGTCTTGTGCAGCTTCGAGGGGCCGGGAGAGGTGGCCGCACCGGTATCAGATACTCCTCGCTTCATGGATCCTATCCTGTGTCGTCTGTTGCCCCACAGCCTCGTTCCTGCCTTCGTCGCGTCTTGTTCTTACAACCTGGGCAAGGCGAAGGCCGTGCTAAGGCCGTAAGGTTGCGTGTGCATTATGATTGAATCGTTTCTACCACGGCATCGTTGTTGCAGCCGAGGGAATCGCTTCTTGTTCCCGCCTCCTGACCGACGAGCATTTCTAAAACCAAGACATAGCAGCAGTATCAGCGCGTGCGTTGGGAGAGGGTCTGTCTACATACTGTACGAAAGGCAGAGGGAACAATCGAGCTGTGATCATGGGGCAGATTTGGTTTGCAATCTTTTGGCAATCTCTTGGAAGACGACGATAAAACCCCTGAGCTGCAGCCTACTGCTGTTTGTTTGGCACCGGAGGAGGTAGGCCCATGAGCACGGGCAACCGCCGGGCAGAGACAAGAGAAGGTAACAGGCAAGGCCAAGAGGACAAGGGTCGGGGTGCTCGACATGCGACATGGGGAACACCAGCAATAACCGGAGCTTCCGAACGACTGCTAATCCAGACAAATGGCAGGTCGCAATGAGCAAGAGTCATGGCCTCCGCGGACATTCGGAGGCTGCTGGGTTACACCAAACAACTCCCTCCCTCTGCTTTACCACAATCGACCATCGCACCATTGCCATCATGGCATTCGATGCCGTCATCGGCGGAGGCTCCTCGGCAAGAAGGCCGCCAAGGACTACATGTAGATTCATTAGCGTTACTGAGCCTTGCACAGGATAATTTTAACCTCTCCTCCTTGAGCAGCCACACTCACTTGATCAGGGTAACCTCAGCATTCCTCCACATCCTCAAGCGCCTTGCTGTCTCGTGTTCCTGGCTGCAAGTTTGTGGTGTGGTTTCTCCCGGCGGCCCCTTGCCCGTTGTCGCTAGCGGCCCTGCATATGAACATATTTTTGCGTGTGTGTGATTATCTCTACTGCGTGCCCCCCCGATCAGCAACAGAGCGGAGCAGACCCAGCAGCAGAGCTCAACTGCTTTGTGTCTGCTGTACGCAAAGTGTGAGCCATCCATGGCGACGATGATTATGAAGGGCTTGGTTGTATCTGCAGGTGTAACAGGGGCGGCGGGATTCGTGCCTCCATCAGCTGGCAGATGTACAGCCTGGAGAGGTCGTCAGGTCACAATGAACTTGTTCAACGATGGTGGGTGCCTCTGTTTGCCAAGAGGTCAGGAGTCAGAGTCAGGAGTCAGGAGTCAGGAGCGTTAACCAGCACAGGGCGTGATGGAATATTCAAGTAGCATACCTGCCAGACTACAGCTGTGATGGGCTATGGAATATCTAAATTGGAAAAATGTCAAGGTTAATTAATTAAGGTTTTTCAGCATGATGTACTGCGGCTGCTTGCCGCCGCTGCTCCGCCGCTGCTACTGCTGTACGTGATATGCAACTGACGGCCACCACAGTAGTCACCGCCTTCCTCAGAACTGCGTGCATGGTTTGATTTCCACTTCACGGTAAGGAGCAGCGACAAAACTTGAGCAGCCGGCAGGCTTCTCTCACCTTCAACGGGGGCTGCTTGCTTCCTGCCGGGATCCAACCACCCATGGCATGCAGCGAAGAAGTGGATGCTGTGCCGTCAGCTGCAGTCAGAGTTCTCAGCATCACAGATCACCCACGTCGTTCGTCCTCGCTTTCTGCCGTACAATCAACAAGCTGTTGGTTGTCGTCCCGTAAGAAAACTTCCTTGCCTGGTTCCGTGTTCCGTGTTGTATGTGAGTATGTGAGTCCCTAAAAGATGGGTCATTCCTCTGCTCCAAAATTCGTGTTGAACGACCTCTCAGCGTGATGAGGTACGAAAAGAACGCGTTACTACTGTCTCCCGCGTTCTCAGATGGTTACCACGTCAACACACATTGAGGACGCTGCCTCACGAGGACACCACATTTGTCACCGCCCAACCTCCACGTTGTTCTTCTTCTCTTCTTTCAGCGGCGAGATGCGTTCCTGCCGTGCTCCTCGGAGTGGCCTTGACAACATCAGCCCCACTATTGGACAGCCCCGCCACACACACCACACACACCGCCATTTTGGGAGCGTCTCCCGTGTTCGCTGACGACAAGGGGATGTCTAGCGTCAGCGATTCCAAGCTCTCGGTGGGAGCGGCTTCGACCGGAGACAAGGGCGCGCGGAAAACCGTTACGCGGGGCGTGAACATCGAGAACGCCGACTACCACGACAAGGACCTGTCGAGCGTTTCGTTCCAGCAGAGCCTGGTGCGCGGGACGAACTTCAAGAACGCAAAGCTCGTGGCGGCAGGTGAAGGGAAGCAGCTCATTACGCGGTCTGTAGACGGCCGGTCGTGATCATACAGGACGGGGTGTATCCTGCGCCCGCCTCCGCCCCTGCTTTGAGAGAGGCAGAAACAGAGTTAAAGTCAGTCAGTCAGTCAGACAGACAGACGCACAGAGACGGAAAGAGAGAAAGAAAGAGGTTGCATGTCTGTTTGTCTTGGGGTCCATATCAGTTGCTGGTCTTGCCCTTTTCTATTTGTCGCAGAACACGTTCAGGTGATGAAAGTGTCTAAGTGGCGCTTTCCTAGCAACGAGAGTTTCTGACAATCAAGCGGCTGAACGCCGGGTGTGTTGCGATCGCTCGGTCCATGCACTATGCTGCGCGCGAGAGGCCAACCGCTTGCAGACCGAAATTTGACGTACAGCAGTGGTGCGCGACATGAGGCCCTGTCTGTTTCTCAACATTTCCGAGAGCGGGAAGTCAGCGCAGAAGACGAGCACAACCGTTGGATAACCAAATTTTTGGATATGTGTATGAGGCCTGGCGGGGAGTTGCAATACAGCGACGTTTGCGAGGGCCATGCAGGGATCCCGTCTAGACACTCACCTAACAAAGCTACAGCAGTTTTGAGATTGAGCTCCTGCAATCGCTGCCCAGCGTCGACTGCGGTCCAATGCCTCCATGTCTTCGTCACTGCCAACCTTTCAACCTTTCCATTTTTTCGTTTTCCAGGGTTCTTCGACGCTGACCTTTCCAACTGCAACTTCGAGTCAGCGAACATGAACCAAGCCAACCTTGAGCTCGCAAACTTAAGGTGAGGTGTCGAGGAAAGACTATTAAGAGTTCCGAGGAACTGCTGCACCATTCGTAGGCCTGGTCGTGGCACCCACAGCAAGCAGCATGCTGTATGTTGTATATTGCCGCCGCTTGTGTGTGGAGCAATACTGTCGCGTTTTTTTTCTATTGTCAGATGCATGGGATGCTTGTCTGGGGGGGTGGACGTCCGCGCATGTCCACCTACTGCTGTACGCTTTACCCGCTGTTGTACTCCGAGCAGTGAACGAAGAAGGGCCAGTGCAATGGTAATGGGAGTGGTTGGGTTTCTGCTCCATGCGCGTCATGCTACAGCAGCTGATGGGCTGCGTTGAGAACGCAGCAACACACTGGCGGGTTCAATGTGCCGTGTAGCTTCGTTATACGATCTAGGGTCTCGTCCGAAAGGAACATGCACGGCTGTCCTGGTTTTGTGAAGCTCGGTATTCGGAAACAGGGCATGCCCACGGTGGGCGTTTGTCACCGTATGCTCACTGAAAAGTGACCGCCTGTTTACGCAGCTGCAGTATGGGCTTCTTTTTCGCCAAGCACGAGCCAACTCGACCCAGTGTTTTGTCTCGGGTTTTGGCCTAACTGCTTATTCGGCAAACCCTGCTAACGCACCGTTGTCCTCGGGGCCGGTACTTGTCCTTCGCGTAACAGCGGCGCGAATATGAAGAATGCTTTGGTCACGGAGGCGTACGTCTCGGGCGCTACTAAAATGGAGCCGGCGATAATCGAAGGGGCGGGTGAGACACTCGTCTAGTGCATTGTTGTAGACCGTGCTTGTTTGTATCGAAAATTTAATGGTTCTGCCACAAGAAGCGTTGAGATTTCTGTTTCGCTGGTGGCGTGTGAGACTACACATATTTAGTCTGCATTTTCGCGGTGCGCGCAAGACGAAGACCCGTGCGTGCATATCATTTAGGCTTATTGTTTGGTGCCTCCATTCCATGCCCCGTCTGTTCCTTCCAGACTTCACAGATACGTTTCTACGGAAAGACCAGGTCAGGTATCTCTGCGGCCTGGATACCGCCAAGGGCACCAACCCTGTTTCGGGGGTAGACACCAGGGAAAGCTTGGGTTGCCCCTGACGTTACTGGCGGATAGGCCCATGTCTGGTGTTCGCTGGCACTGGCGTTGAACGTTACCACAACTGCTTTGATACCAACTTCTTGTTGTTTCAGCGATAGAAGGGTTGGTTGGGTGGTGGGCAGAGCTAAGGTGTTGAGTTTGTGGCATCAGCGTTGTTTATTGAAGGGCCGCACCCTGTCTCTTAACCTGTTGTAGCCGGAGGATCATGGTAATGGTTGAGGCAATGCCCGTCGTAGATGTTCCTGCGACTGTCACTGCCCCACGATGGGCGTGACCACCCTAGACGCATATCATAGATAGATGGACACGAGATGTTTTGTCAGGAGAGAGTGACATGGCAGTAATAGAGATGCATACGTGAACACTGGGACTTTTGGCTCTTTGTTCCGATGCGTGCATAAAACCACACGGTCAAAGTTGCTTCGTGCCCTGATAAACTTCGAGAGAGGCACAAGATGAGGTAAAGGAAAATGTGTAGATACGACTATGCTGGCAGACGACGAGAGGGCCGTACGTCGCATAAGATACCACTCACAACTTTGGACTGATGTTCAAAGCTCGATCACTTTGCAGCAAAAAGGTGAAGTTGTCGAACATGGCGGCGTTGGAACCGCCTTTCCGAACTTCCTCTTTATCACGGGTTAGTCGAACTACTGTGAAACCGGTCCAGAGGGTGTGATATCTTCCGTACACAACCTACGGTATTCACGTGCCGCCCTCTCTGGCTCTTAACTTACCGTACCTGATGCTGAGTCCAAAAACACCACGACACTCGCAACACAACGCAAGTTGTTCGCTGTGAAGGGGTGTATCTACCAGTGCCACGCTGTACACAAAGACCGAAAAAGCAGTGTTGATGTGTTGATGGCCAAACACAGACGGCACCAAGTACATGCATGGGAGGGCATCGGGGGCGGCAATATCTCTCCCGAACTGTAGCTACATGTTTGTCCCCAGGGTCCCTTCTTCCTCAAGCACTTCGAGACTATCAACCTTCGTCCGGCAAGGGGAAAAAATGATACGTCGTTCACAGGCTGGGCGTAGTTGTCCCGGCGAGCTCTGAAGCCTGCCTGTCTTTTCCTCGATTGTCTAGGCTGGGGAGTGAGGAGTCACATCCCGCACCACCATCTGTAGCGAGCACGTTGAATTGCAAGCAGTGCCGGGCGTCGTGTCCACTGGAAGGGAAGGTCGAGAGATAACATGTGACGATTCCCAGGAAGCATCTCGTGGTGTTGCCATCCAACTCCCAGAACAACATAATTCGACCACCAAATGAAACAGCCCCGATACCCCAACAGAGTCTGCAGCGAGGTATGCATACAACGAGGTAGGAGACTGCAAACAACAAGTTCAGAAAAGAAAGGCGTAGCAAAGGCAAAGGTCGACCACGACCACAGGATGAACGACGACGGTGAGCCGGCGTGCGCACCCTGTCGGGGCGTGTACGGAACACGATGGGCTGGCGGGAAACAAGCGCACCGAAGCCTGTGGTATGTATGTGAAAAGCTCGAGCAGGCACGAGGCATGCACGCTTGTGATGGTGACCTCCAAGACTTGCACCAAACGGATGGCACATGTTTTTAGCCAGGCATACAAGAGGGAAATCCATCTTCTACAGACGCGGTGCGTGCTCCTGGGATTGCAAGAAGGCCCCACCCAATGGATCTAGAACAAGGTGCAGTAAAACCAGCGCAACCAAGCACCTCCTGCGTTCGCCGCGCACCTCAAACAGTGTGCTGCTAGCTGATATGTCTCCAAAAAAACACACGAGCCTGTCCGTCTCGATTCTTGACCTTGGCCTTGACACTCAGATGAGGAAGGCGGTCTTAGGAAAGAAAACCAGGGATGACGGCACGTTCGCAGTCTAATGGCGCAGTAAACTGCTGCTGCCGCTACACACGGCTGCCGCCACCGACGTACCTCCACGATACAGACAATCTCTACCATAACAAAGGGGCATCATAAAATGGCAAACTTATCGTCCCGGCTGTCAAGGTTAAGGTTAAGGTTCCTCTGGAGGCAAAGACAAGACAAGACCCAGATCAATGAGGACCCAAACCCAGACTCGCTTCTCCACGCGGCAGCTGGCCGCCCAACCCCCGGATGAGCCAACCATCGCGTCCCGCGAGGCCGCAAACCAACTCCTCCGGCCAGTAAACATGCTCACGCACAAACAAGCAACGATACTAGCGCCAGGAGCGAGTCGCCTAAGCGGCGTGTACCGGGTTGTTCGTCTCTCTACTTCGTGGTTGATGCTGCTGGCTGGAATGTCTCGCCCCATCTTACTCGGGTACAGTAGGCAAAGACGCATCCTCCCTGCAAGCCTCCTTTCCAGCGCCATCTCTTCCTCTTGATCTCGGGCCCACAGACAACAAGGGCGCCTCCTTTCTTATCCCTTCCCCTTGGCCTCTCTCCTCCTCATCCTCCTCTCACGCCGACAGACAAAAGGCGAGCAGCTCACTTCCTGGATCCCTTTTCCCGCCTGTGACAAAAGGACAGGAGGCCGTACCCGGGAGGGGATGGGGGATATGAAACATGACATGATCATGTTGTGAGGGGGAACGGTCAAGTGTGGCCATCGAGAGTCGAGCGAATGGAATATTCCGAGTACTGTATACTTCAAACCCTTTTCTGGCGTTGAATAGGGGCTGCTGTATGCTTGCGGTGAATTTGCCATTCACAGGGCGTTGCGCCGTCACGAACCACTTGAACCTGCTGTGTCCACACACACAATTCTACTCGCTCTGTTGCTCTTTCATATTTTAGTATCTTCCCCATTTGGCCTGAGACCCCGTTGCCATGCCCGTGTCTAGACTACTGCCGGCGTACACGAACAGTTTTTCGACCTTGTAGCGTCGAATGTACTGCCGCCGCCGTCCGTTGTCACTACATGTAATTATGTTTTTGTTTGTCGGGGGAGGGAGGGGTGCTGCTTGGAGTCCTTCCCGGTGCTGGTTACCGTTACTGTTACCGTTACTGTTACTGTGACTGTCCGCTGTGGGTGGGTGGCGCGCACGCGCTGTCCGCCGCTCTCTCTTCTCTCTCTGCCCCTCTCGTTCGTGCGCGCGTTCGGTATCATGCCTACCTACTCCCTGTGCCATCTTGCCTCCCTCCCTCCCTCCCTACTTCCGAGAAGGGTTTCATACTCTTGTCGCTCACACCATACCTCACACCACACAACGAATGCCTCCAAAACGTGAGTCCGCTCAATATGGTCCTACACGTAAGAGTAACAAAAGTAGAGGCGGGAAGCTCCCGGGGCTCCAGGCGGCCCTAGAAGATGGGGGTGGATGCGGCCATGACCGACGCTTGACGGCGAGGAGGAATAGCACGGCTACCATACACGAAAACAATTCCGATTTCGTTTAGCCGTGCTTGTCCTCCTCGCCCTCAGAGTTGGATGGCCGCATCCACCCATATCTTTCAGGCCTGCCACCAGTCTCTTCTTCTCCCCGTCTCTGAGGAGCTTCCCGTGTCTAAGGGCCATATTGCGGGACGCGCCTGTTCAAGGAATCTGTTGTGCTGGGTGCGGTGGTGGTGTGGGCGACACTGGTGCCTCGAAACGGTGCGTCCTCGCGATGCTGCAAATCGAGGCGGGAAGCTCCTCCGTGCAAAGAAGGGGCTCAAGGCGGCTATGTAAGATGAGGATTCGGCAATGGCCTGAACTAGGTCATCGAACGCAGATTCTATATGGCCGCAATTAGGTCCTGGCCGCATCCCTATCTTTACACCAGTGCCGCATTGCCGCGCGCGCGGCAAACGAATTCTCCATATTTCAGCCTTTTCTTTCGGTTTGGTGGATAGTAGTTTCCGGGGATGGATCCGACCGTGCACAGCATACAAAGCTAAGACAGAAGAAGGCTGCGAACGATCAATGCGAAATTGGTAGTACAAAACCTAGCAGCGACCAAGGTGCATGAAGGCACCCAAACCAAACAAAAATCAACCTTCGTACAGAGTCTTCCGATCGCACGGGACGTAAATACACACTAGTCATCGACTAAAAACGCGCACGTGAAAAACAAAAAAAAAACACTACAAATTCGTCTGATGGTCTTCGGGGGTGAATTTCAAGCCGAAAAATAACAATAGAGCCAAACACAAAGACAACAACAACAACAATGGTAACGACGGCAACAAGGGAGTCTCTCTCACCTTGCCCGTTCAAGGTCGGCCATGCGCAGAAGGAAGTCGTCTTCGTCATCCGAGTCTTCTTCTTCCACCTGTCTCGCCAACGCATCCAATGGCCCAGCCAATCGCAGACACCCATTCAAGCCCAGCCCATGAGATTCGGCGTTTGACCCGACCAATCCGAGCCATTCGCCATCGTCGATAGCCAATCATAGCAGGAGCGGGCGGGGCGCCGACCATTGCCCATGCAGCAGGACGGCAGCGGGGGCAAGGGGGAAAGGAAACCAGTAGGAACGATTCGTCATACATTCAGATACATAGGATCACAGTACGCATGTACTGACTGTGATATATTTCCAAGACTTCACAGCGCCCATGTACTGAGTGGTGTCACCTACATACCTGGTCTATAGTAGACAAGTACTGTATTCGTGTGCGTGGTGGTGGGGGGTTCAGTAAGCTTCCAACTCTGGGAGAAGATGGGGGTGATGTACAGCCATGCAGCTACTCTAGCCTCAGGTTCTCAAGGCCAACCAGCTCCAGGTCAAACAATAGGCAAGGTATCAATGAATAACTGGTGCGCAAAACAACACATACCTGGCACTATGGAACGCCGCGTTCACGTTTGCCAAGACCGAAGTAAATCATGATTTACGACACTTTCAGTCACACGCGACACAGCTACAACAGCCGATGATAAAATCACTGCTGTCGGCATGACGACGGCCATGACCCTCACCGGTGGGGCGGCGTTGGACTGCTTCTTAGACTGCTTCTTGGACTTGCTCGAGGACGGCTGCTGCTGTTGCTGCGGCGCTGAGCGGGGCTTGCTCGCCGCCTCCTGCTGCGCAAGCGCCTTCGCGGCAGCGGCCTCCTTAGCTGCCTGTGCCGCCTTGCGTGCAGCCTGAGAGGGGAAGGGTTGGGTTGGGGGCACAGGTTAGGTTGCTGGGATTGACGCAAGCGAGGTGGTCCCCGTTTTTTATCATCGGCGCCGCCGCTCTGTGGGCAGCCTGCGTCGAAACAATCCGCAAGTAAACGAGCAGTGATAGCCGTGTAGCTCTAAAATACACCGGAGGGAGGGACACGTACCGCTGGCCAAGAGCAACGGCCACAACAGCAGCGGAATGGAACCGGGGGATTTAATGGTAAAAGACCCACAGACCAAGCGCACCTCCTGCTTCTGCTTCGCGGCCGCCTTCCTGTCCTTGGCTGCCTGCTTCCTGGCCGCCTCCTCCTTCGCCCTGCGTCCACACCACAACGTAACAAACACAACATTCAGAGGAACATGGGCGCGTTTCGCACTGAATCAAGGCCCAAGCGGCAAGAGGGCAAACACCAACATTGGATAGCCCCCTTGCTCTGGAACTGGGCACACGAAAGGCTCTGGCAGAGAGGCGATTGTCAAGCTACGACGGACGACGGGGCAGTAGAAGGCAGCTTCGGATGCAGCCACAGCGGTACATGTAGATCGCGCAACACCTAACGAGAACGATTTTTTGGGGGTATTTGGCATGTCTGGACGTGTGTAAGAGATGCGCATGGTGCGCGTGCCTCCTCGCCTTCATTGTTGACTCGGCACTTCCTTCCCCTCATGGTGTACACAACCATCACGGCTTGTGCCATGGTATAGGCTAAGGACGGTGTGGCAGTGTGGCCTGGGGGTGTCATAAAATCATACCATGGTAAGGTAGGGATCTAAATACCCACGGTACGGTTGTAACACGTGGTGCGAAGCGGCACCCGCACCCGGTACGAAGCCAGCCTTGTGTTGATCCATTCGCCGGCGAGCGCTAGGGGCAAGCCCTTGTCTACAGACCTGCTTCTGCTAGGAATACACGACCCCCAACCAAGGAGCGGCAGTTGTCGTGGAAGCGAGTTTTGAAGCCTACTACTGCGTGCCTGTCTCCTACGATGCTACGATGGACGATGGGCGACAACGACGTTCACCTGTCTTCCTCCCGAGTGAGCTCCCGGATCAGGCTGTCCGCCGTGGCCTCCGCCTTCTTCGCCGTCCTCTGCGCTGCCGGGCTCTGTTCCCGCAGCATGGTCGGAAGATGACGGTCGGCCATGGTGGCGACCAGAACAATGTACCATATCGTCCACAGGGAGGGGAGGGAGTCAAGGCAGACAGAGAGACAGACAGGTGACACGGCCAGACCGATAGAGGGAAAGGGGTAATCAGGCTTGAGAGTACACTTGGGATGTCGTGCCCAGAGGACGGCCCCGATACAGTATTTTTAGTACAAGCGCGTCGTAAAATCCGTCTCCTGGAGAGTCAGTCTACCCGTGCTTCCTGACTTCCTTCACCCAGGTGGCACTGACGTTCAATATTGCTATGCCTGGCACCACGCGTATACAGCGAACGTGTGACCGATATTCCCACAGCTCCTGCCCTCCGCCGCCCCACGGGAAGGCAAAGGATACTTAAGGTACATGTACATCCGAGATATGATACCGACCGCCGTGCAGGGAGTGCGGACTTATATCTATGCTACACCATATATTCCAGGCTGTAGAAAAGATGATGCGGAAACTCTTCCGACGTTGTGCCATGCCGTGCGTGGCAAACTACAACTATTGACAATCAACTGAAACGACGAGTCACCACACGCAGCCGAACTGTAGGGCCTGTACCCAATAGCTATGCGTAGCGTACGATGAGCCTACGGTGGCCGTAGAAGGCAGCAGGATACAACACGGATCTGCTCGATCAAGAGACGCCGCGTCTCAGCGAATCGCAGCCTCTTTGTATGAGGTGGAACACTCTTTGGAACCCGTGCGACCTGCTTCATGGCAACCACCTAGTCGACAAAATACGGTCTACAATCGTGCTGGTTATATATGACAGAGTGGGTGTCCAGCTGTGTGACCCTGGCGGGTTTTGTGTGAACCAGCTTTTGTAGATATGCATGTGCGTAGGCTTTTGGTCTTGTGCAGACCAGACGCAAAAGAACCAACAGCAGCTTTGGCTTTGGACACATCGATATGTACCGCACTAAGCCCAACACCTCCCATCGTTCCTCTTCTCAAAAACAGGTCGCACAACGTACCTCCAGGAGTTACGTGTGTGGAGGCAACCCCGCGGACAAGCCGGGGGCGGTCAAAATCTAGGCTTGACAAAAAACCTCGTGACAGCATTCTTCTGGAATACTGCTTGCATAAGTGGATACAAGAGTAGACAATTTCCGAGAGGGCAGCTGGGTTCTGCAGCAACCATTCTGAAGTAATGCCGAGTGCTCGTCCTCACCGACTTCCCCGCGTAGAACATGTAGCAGCCTACGGCCACAGCGACCAGCGCCAAGAAGGCCATGAAGGGAAGCACATCGTAGGTGACCTGTGGCGTCGTCCAATGAGACACGAGCACGTGGGGAGGAAGAAACAGGTAGTAGAATTTACTAGTAGACAAGCTCTGCGCCGCTCACCCAACAGCTGTAGAGAGGCAAGAACCCACAATCGCTCCCAGTGCAACGGGGCGAAGCTACCGACACCCGAAATCATGCCACGTCTTGGCTCCACCCCCCGGGGATACGATGACAGAGTGCACAAGAAGTTGGCGAGCAACGAACCAGCGGTGGACGCGAGCCAACACAGCAAAAAAAACTGTCCGACAAACACGACCACACGAGGGGAGAAAACGGCTCCTGATTCCTGACTACCCGCGGGCATGCATACCTTGAGGGTGATCAGGGCCAACGGCAGCGCCAGGAATGGAAGGTTCTCTGTCAGGGAGAACGGCATCGTTCCTGAAGACGAGAGGGGAGACGGGCGACCGTGCGTGCCTGGGGCTCAAGCCTTTCTGGTTGCTGTGAAGCAGGTGGATCGAGTAAACAAGCCGCCGCGGGGGGCACGCACTGCGCTAGGCGGCGATGAATGGATGCCGTGGGGGAGACGTAGATTGCACCAGTCCCACCGCGCGCGGGGTGTGTTGGTCTCTCACCACACGGCGGCCTTGGGAGTGGGAGGGAGCACGAGGGCGAGAGGGGGGGGGGAGAGCTTGTATCATGTCAGCAGTAGGTGAGAACTTTGCTGCGATAGCTATGACTATCACGGTATGCCGGTTTAGGTCATGTTTCAATTTTCAATTGATGCTACCTGCTGATCAAGCCGTCGTAGTCTAGTCTATATTTTGAAATCCGTTCTCCGAACGTTACTGCTGTCTCGACGGCCACATTGCTGTACTCTCTCGGTGCATGTAACTTTCTCCTTCGGATATGTAGCGTTTCACGTAGACGAGAGAACTAGCTTTGGGCTGAGAGAGACGAGAGATAGAGCGAGCGTAGCAATACCAAACCGAATTTTCAAACTTCTCGTCGTTGCATCATGTACATGGACTCATCCACCCTCGAGCGACGTTACGAGAGGCATCAGAAAGTTGACTTATTTGAAGGACTATTTGAATTTGAAACGGTTTTCGAACGCCAGCGATAGCAAACATTCTTAACTATGCGTCGGCGGCACATTTTGAAAAATCGAGCTATCACATACTTCGTACATACTACATGCAGGACACCGAGGGGTGGGGGTGATATTCGACGTCACACGTACAGATTCTGTGCTGCCGTCGTTGGCAGATTGGGTTGGCAGAGAGCTGTTTGTGGTCTACATGAGGCAGTGACACTTCACGTTCCTTTAGTGAGATACGTACATAGTGAGAACTCCAGTTTCAAATATTTGTCTACATGTAGGACATTGTCGGAGAGGGGGTGTGATTCGACGTCACCTTACAGAGTCGGTGTTAAGGTACACTGCCGTATAGGGTTGACAGAGAGCTATTCGTTGTTTTGAACTAACGAGGGAGTGGCACGTCATTGCCTTCTTACCGTGCGGTCGTGGGCGTGTGCCCGTGCTCCCCCAATCGTTATCGCTTTCCTATCAGGGTCGTGGGCACTTGGTCGAGACAGAGATAGAGACAGACGGATGGAGAACACGAACAGCAGCCACGATCTGTCGTTCGATGTCGTCGGGGTACTGCCGACCTTCCCGACAACCACACCACTCGAACCCAGCCTCATCGGTTCGCACACACGCAAAGCGCGGCCTCAGTCCCACCATTCGTATGCCCTGGGAGGGGAAGGCATAGCATTAGGTATGCTTTACGTGGGGGTGGACGGCACGCGGGGAGCGCGGCTGGGGCGCGTTAGGGGAGACGATGTTTTGTGCAATGGATACGCTATTTGTTGGTGTATCTGCTAAGTCCGCAATAAAGTATAGGGTTTGAGTTTAGTATGTTTTTTTTTTGTGTATTTGGTTTCGGTTTTAGGGACGCAATATCCCGCGTGTGCATTGCGGCCAGCTGCTACTGTCTGAAGTGGGGGCCACATCGCGTGTGTTTCTAGATGGGTCTGGCGCGCGATAGTCGTGAAGATGCAGGCAGAGTATTACGTTTTTGGCATGTTGTTTCGAAGAGTACACCGCGCTGTGTCATTTGCTCCCAACGCTCTTTCTCGTCTGCCCACTCCTACGGCAATCACGCGCCGGCGTAGTACGATACACGACACCCCACATCCATCAATGCTGCCGGTTGCTCAATGTACATGTTATCGCAGGCACAGGTGGGAGTACAGAATCTGGTCTTGAGCAAGGGTTCGAGCGAGAAAGCTACGACTCAGATGAAGAACTGGAAGCGATCCGAGGATCGGTGCGCAGTCTCCGCGCGCAGCGGGCTGCCGTGGAGAAGCTGAAGGAGAAGGCACGGCTGCAGGAAGGTACGGCAGAAGTGCTCAAACGCAAGCTTCGGGAAGCGGAGGAAAAAGTTCGTGAGCTCAGGGCTCAGGGAGGACGAGATGTGGTGCGACGCCTCATGGGCGAGGTGACCAATGGCTGCCACTTTTTTTTTTCACAAAAACAAAAAAGTTCAGATCTCTAGACCCAGGAAATATTCCCTGTGATTTCATTCTTGTACGCCTTGTGTTGGCAACAAGGTTGGAAAGTCTTCCCCACCAAGTGGAAAAGGGACGGGTATCATGGTCCACCGAGAGGGTGCGTCTCACTGCATAAACAGTGCCAGAGTTAAATCGACATGATAAGGCAGCCACGAAGAAAGCTTTTGTACCGCTGATTGGGGACCCGGTTCTGCCGTCCAAGAGACTCTCAAGACCCCGTGAGCAATCGATGCGCTGCTCGCTCGCTCGCCCCTTAGGGTCGGTGTTTTAGGAGTAGCCCCTACCCTAACCCTACCCTTATCCTGAATGACCGTCTCTTGTCATCCCTACCCCAACCCTACCCTTACCTTGAATGATTGCCTCTTGTTATCCCTACCCAAACCCTACCCTATCCTAGCCTTAAACACCTCTCTCGTGTCGTCTGTATTCACACGCCGACGTAACAAACCTGCAAGGTGACCGAGCTGCGTGCTCGGCTCAAGGCCACTTCGACGGCCTTTCAGACGCGGGAGAACAGCGTAGCCGAGCTGCGGGAAGCCGTGCAGACCCTGACCCTGGATTTGCGCGCGGGACAGGAGAAAGCGAGAGCGCAGTCTCGAAAGCTCGAACAGCAGGTGACGTTAGGAAATAATTGCAGGACTAGGTCTGGAGACCATTTTGTTATTCCGTGAGGGACTTGACTGTCAGGCACAGGTGTGTTGATTCATGCTGCTCGGGCCACGCCCTGTTGATGTTGGAATTTCTTCAAGCAAGCATGGAGTCCGATTTTTGGCGCAATGTCTCGTCATGTGCCCATCCACTTGCGGTATGAGGCACGTATGCTACTGGCCTGGCTTTGCTCACCTACAGAGCAGACAGAGGCGCCCCACCTATGTATTCGGAACGTGCGCGTTGTAGATCTGAATCAGGGAGGGCAGTGTTGCCCACACCCACCATATCGTCTCCTCGGAGGTTGCGATAGCAACACTGCTGAAAATTTCGTCGATCATCCCCTCGCCTCTCGCGACTTCCTCACCCAAGGGCCGAGAATCGCAGGAGCAGCAGGTGACTATCGCCCGCTTGGAGGAATCTTGTGCGAGGTGCGAAGAGAGGGCAGAGATGGCGGAGAAAACAGCGGAGGACAAGGTACAACACACCAACACCCCTTGTTCATCGTTCGTGTCCGCGGTTTGATACCCGTTTACGGCGTGGAGCTCATCGCGCCAAGCTTAGATACGCCCGTCAGGCTGCAACGAGCCATGTCCCGGTCGTCAAAGTCTTGCTGTGTCGAGACTTGTTTCTCGGATCGAGGTTGTTCTGGCGCTAGCTTTGACTGAATCTCGTCTTGTTCCTGATGGCCTGGCCACCCCTTTGCTCTGTTGTCGACGCTGGCGTTCTTGCAGTGCGCTGCCTCTGGCCGCGAGTTGGCGTCGCTGTCAGCGCTCTTGAGGGAGGCCAACGCCACTCTCGACGCGTCTAAAGGGAGCATGCAAGCCACAGTGGCGAAGCAGGCGGAGAAACTCGAAGCTGCCCGCAAGGTGAGCGTCGAGGGGAGTTATGTGTTTCCCGTTTGCGTCGCAGCAGAATGCGCTTCTGCTGCTGCTGTCAGAGTTGGATGCTGTCAGAGTCGGATGTTCGCGTCGAATAGATCGTACGCATCACTTGGTTCTCTAGAACAAAGTAGCTTCCTAACCCTGTTGCAGTCCTTTGGGCCCTGGCGTTTTTCATTGCTTGGGCTTGTCGCTCAGGGAATTGAACTGAACAAGCGCTGCCGTTGATTGTGCGCAAAGAACCGAACGATCCCAGTCGTAGATACCGACGAATGAGCCCTGTCACCCGTCAGGAAAAGGAGTCTCTGCTGTTCGAGAAAGACCAGGCTCAGGAACGTGTGAAGGAGCTCACGTCCATGTGCGAACGGCAGCGGTCGAAGCTCGCCGATGCCGGGCATCGCGCCAGAGAGCTTGAACGATTGGCTTCGGCTGCGAAAAAGGAAACCAGGCTGGCGCAGGAGCAGGTGAGAATATATTCTGGCGTCTGGTCAGCGCTGACGGCAAGGGGGGGGGCGTACTCTTATGTTTTGCATGCCTTAGCGGTTAGACCATTGACCACGCGTCCTCAAGAGGACGGAGCATTGCTCCCANAGGACGGAGCATTGTTCCCACAGGACCGATCACCGATGGCCAATCGTTTCCTTCTACTTTGCCAAAGGTGGCTCAAAAATGTCTTCCCTAGTCTATCATGACGATATCCCTTCCCCGCCTTTTCAACCCACCACCTATGCCCCACTACAGCTACCGTCCTTTCCTCTATTCCATGCCTCAAACATCTCCCTGTACGTTCCATCTATTTTTCCCAGCTCAGTCACGTACACTTCCCTCTCCTTCTTGTACAACGGACATTCCGCGACTACATGAACACGGTCTTCGCATTCGAAGCCGCAATCACATTGGAAATCGTCGTCTTCGTCGTCCACCGTCCCATGTCTTCGTCGACCTTCTCGAAGGCCTGTGTCCCCGGACCTGAATTTGACCTTAAGCTTTGTTCCTGCATCCATTGGTCCATGTAGGTACTCCTTGAACCCTATTCCTTACTTCAACATTCCGCACACTGCTAGACCCTTCTTATCCTTGGATTCTTTCTTGAGTTTCTGTTCTTCTCTCGGCACAAGCAACACGGCAAGGGGGGGGTATTATATGTTTGTTGACTTGACAACCATAAATGTTTGTTGATTGATTACCATCGCATTGCGCGCAGAGGGAGCGGAGGGCTCCAGAATATCTGTCGTTGATTTCTATTGACTTGCGGACCCCTCGGGGCCAGTTGATTTGAGTGTATCTTTTTAGGGTAAGTTAACCTATGACTACGGGAATTGACCGCGTCAAGTGTTGGATCAGTACGGACACATGAAGGTTCTGGGTAGAGAAAGATCGGAACGGTTTTTAATGTGAAGACAACAACAACAGCAACATCGACCGCTCCAAGCGGCTGATAATTCGAGGGCGTCAGTTTCACAAACAGAGAACAAACGCATATTCTTCTACAGTGGTGGCTACGGTGTAAGAGAGTTTATTCAACAGGAAGTAAAGGTTTAAGAGAGTCAAACTGACTTGTCACTTGTCACCCCCTGACCGATTTAAGAGATAATTTGTCCTAATCCTCTCGTTTTCTCTTAATCCGTAGCCAAAATAATTTGAGCCACACAGACACACAGACCACACACGACCTCCGCTGCAGACCTGCGCAGCGAGAGAAGCAAAACAGACTTGCACGAGGGGTTTCATTTCGCGGTGCCCAGAGGAACGAGAGAGTGCTGATGCCGACGTAGGAATGGGGAGGTGTCACACGGTGGTACATCAATCATTGCCATAATATATCGTTTGTTGTTTCTCGCTGTTATTTTACTCCATGTGTTGGTGAAATTCGGTACGTCTCGCGCGAGTACACACAAGGCGCTGATGCACGCAGCAGCATCGTTCTCAACAAGTCATTTTTGCCCTCCATAACCTCGCCCGGCGGTTTCGGCAACAGCATGTCTCTTAAACGGCCGTAGCTGAGTTGGCCGCGGTCTAACATATTTTTCTCTTAAACCGTGGCCAACACGGTATAAGAGGAAACTGGATTTAAGAGAGATAATATTGGCTTGTCACGACACTCTCTTAAACCGTAGCCACCACTGCACTCGTTTTAGTCACGGACGAGAGTCTGTATGCCATCCCGGATATTCTGGGCGTCGATGCCTACACCTGGCACTTAAGGACGGGCATGTCTTCTGGGATTCACTAACCAGGCAGTCGGGGCTGTGTTTTGGTCGTCACTGCTGTGCGATTCGCGATGTGCTCGATTTGCATTTCATCTGTCCGTCGTACTGCTCTGAAAGGGCTATGTTGCAGGGAAAGTGACATGACCCTAATCATCCATGTTTGCACCAAGCGCTCTGCATCAGCAGGCATTTGGCATGACGAAACGCTGCAGAATCTGACCATTATTGCTTTACCTGCCCCGCGGGCGCTCGGGCCCAGGCGGCAAAGCTGAAGTCGGAGTTGTCTGCGGCTGACAAGAGAAGGAGGGAGGAGGATGCCGGCGCCACGATAAAGCTCAGGACTGCTGCTCGGCAGGTGGAAGAGCTGCGGTCTGAGGTGGTTCTGGTGAAATCGGAGGCCGCGGAAAAGGCGCGACAGCTCGTCAAGCATCGAGATGAGGTACTGCTGTATCTTGGGTATCTTAGATGATCTTTTTTTGGAGATTTGAGTGAATGTGACTGATCCTGTTGCTGGATGTCGACAATCATCGCGTTAGTGCTCCTACTACGCATTTCCGGCGATATACCGATCATGAAGAACAATGGGGGGTTTCGAGATGGTGACTACCACGTCAGAGCTTTGATTTTGGGAGGGTTGTTTGGCGATTTGCGCTGTGATACTCTCACTGATGAGAAGGCAACACGCGAGACCTTCAACAAGTCGCACTTGTTGCCTCCACCGCTTTATGCCGCGTTCCTCAAGATGTCCGCGTTCCGCGAGGACGTCAGCAAACTGCGAGAGGCGGCGGTGCAGCAGGGAGACATGCGACAGGCAGTGCGGGACCGAGATGAAACCATCAGAGGTCAGGATGAGGGCCACCACATTTGCTACATACATGTCACGCGGATAGGCCCGCTTCCCTCATGCGCGTTTGCATGTCGGAGACAACCCATCCGCTGTTTTCCCATTGCCTTGTCCTCCGGTGGCATGGCCCAGAAGCACATTGATGTAACGCCGAGGGTTTGATACGCTTACATGGTTTCAAGTGAGGTGTAGAATTTGTCGCCAGGAAAACGGCTGGGTAGGCGAAGCATTTCGCTCACCAGGGGCACTCACAGCAGGCAACGGCATGCGATGCAATTTTCTCGATTAGGATGGTACCCATGTATGTAGAATGTGTCAACCGACGGGTTTCAGCAATAATGTGGACTTAGCGTGAATTTGTTCGACAGCTCCTCTGTCCCACCGTCACCTGATTGATTCCCCACCAGATCTAAGGGGTCAACTTGAGCTGGAGAGACGGGAAAGGGGGCAGTGGGGACAAGCCAGGAAGCAGCTCTTGTTGGAGTTTTGGTGAGATGTGCTGCTTGCCGTAGCCCGGGGGCTAGTGCATGCCTCAACCGAAGCCGAATCTTTCTGCCAGCGGCTTCGCACGAGAGAGCAGTCCTTCTACAAGTTCTTCGTCCCTTTCTGTTCTCTGTGGACCAAGTGGGTGTTAATGCGACAAGTGATTGGGGGGTACTGTAATGAGGTCAGGAAGAAAAGTTGCCACATGGTTTTTGGCTGTTTGACGCCGACAAACTTAGGGAGCAACAAACGTGCGCACCACCGGCTATGTCTATGTGAATAGCGTTGAGTGCTCGCACTGGCCGCGTGTAACGCCTCGTTTTTCTGCCAGCGCAGTGCGCCCGCGAAGGCATCTGAACCACCTCTCATGCCCGCACACTACCGTCGTACGTTTGCCTCGCGCACGCGCAGCGAAGAAGAAAACAAGCTCCGATCGACGCTTCAACCCGCGCAATACCAGGAGCTTCGCAGCACGCGGCGACAAGGACGGAAACAGGCCGTTCTCGAGCACGCGCCACCGACGGGAAGCGATCGCCGCCTCACGCGCGACAAGCCCTTGAGCCGGCACGCCACCATGCGTAGTATTCGGACCAACGGAGATTCCCATCGCAGCAGCGCCAACAGCTCTTTGAAGGGTGAGGCGTGCGTCGCTCGCGAGGAAGAGAAGGTGTTCGGGGATAGCGAGGCGGGCGAAGTGCTTCTTGACCTTGCAGGAGGGGGGGTGAGAAACGTTGGTACCGGAACTTTGGGCGGATACGACGAGGGGAATAGTAGTAGGACCATGGCATCGGACGAGTTTGAAATGCGGCCGGGGCAACAACTATCGCAACAAGCTTAGAAAAAGTTTGGGCTATAGTGTACAGCACCATATTGGGGCAGCGAGAATTGAAAATTGGGCAGAGGGTGGAGTATCAATCGTACACCGACGTAGAAAATAGATTTGTAAAAGTCATGATGTACCAAATTTAACTATGGCTACATTCTGCGTATGTAGGTTGTAAATTGCAGTTGGGTGAGGTTTGAGCGGAGATACAAAACGAGTATGCCTAGCCTCAATCACACCAGCTTGTCGGCGCGAAGCCGCCCAAAATCAGATAAGACGTGCGCACAGACGGAGTTTGTAGTTTGTTCACCAAGCTTTTCACATTAACGCCAGTCGCCTGCGAAGCAGTGGTACCGGGTTGCGTTTCAACGTTGGTGACAAGCACCGGGAGGGAAAACAAAGTGGAACGTCGGCGGTATTTACACGGTAGAATCGCGCGCTTGCATGCTTCGGATTATGCCACAACCTCTCTTGTACCACGGCAACACCAACGCCAAGCAAACAGCTCCACGTCGTCGCCGCCGCCTTTTATCTGCGCGACGAGAAGCATCTTTCGCGCTCATCCCGCAAGGAGAGGTACTCCAGTCGATCGATGACAGCTGATTTTTTCCCACTTCAGAAGACAACAGTGTCTTGGTGGCTTCTCGGACAAAAGCTCCACTCCTTCGGGTACGAGAGTCCACCCCATCCTCGCAGGGACCGCAATGGCTCAATCGTCGCTCTCGACTGACCCAAGCTAAAACACGAACAACGGCGCGACAAGTTGGAGAGTGGGGAAGCCGAGTGAAACGGATCATAGGTGATCATAGGTGTACTGTAGCGCATCACGACGAAAGAGAGCAGTCGAAAGTGTGTGTGTAAAGTACAACATGCTGTGCACACGAAGGTTTCCCACCCTTGCCCGCCCCTCTTCATGTATCCGCCTCGCTCACATGTTTCTCCAAGAGGGCGATGAGCTCTTCCACTACCTTGTCGTCTCGGAATCTTCGATGGCAGTCTTCGATCATCTGTCGCACACATTCATCGAACAGGGTGTCTGAGAAAGCAAGAAGTATAATAGCGTGCTCCCCCAAGGGTTGTCGGAATGTCAGGACAACAAAATTACCTTGAGTGGAAGACAGCAGTGTACTCCTACTGCTATGAGGACTTCGCGTTGAGCAGTCGTCCATTTTGCAAACTTAGGGCTCGTCCTGTGAGTGGTGAGCAGTATCCCGTGTACCTTGGAGGTATGTACAGACGTGCTGAGAGAAAAGGTGTTCAACGACTTCCGCAAATGAAGCCGTGATCAAAGGCGGAGTTTGATGTCTGCCGCGTCTGCAGAACGCGCCACCACTTGAGAGCCTTGGAATTGACAAATTGAGTCTCCAGCTTTGAAAATCAAAGCACGTGACCGGATCCTACTTTAAACTTATCACATCATTGCTGCTGTGATCTATGTAGTCACTTAGTGTTGGATAATTCCACACCAGAGGAAAGGGTGTCCAGCGTCGGGGCAGAGTGCAGAGTTTTAACTTCTAGAATTAAAGGGACCGGTCTTACACGGCCAAACCACGCCGCCAGACCAGGAAAACGAAGCTCGAGGTAGCCGCACCATTCATGCATCTAGTCTAGTCTTCATGCTGTGATGCCACTGGTTCAAGGTTGTCATCTACAAAAGATCGGACACCACTTTTCACACCGTTCGGTAAGGTTGGATGAACCAACCGGGGTCACACAGGAGGAGTAAGAGCACACTGGAATTAGTCAACTTGGCGCAATTTTTATCCAAGAGGCTTGCTCGTTCACCAAGTGCACTGCCACAGGCTGGGACGGGCGGTGGTTTATCATCTGAAGCTTCTCCGGAGTAGTGAGCCGGCAGAATAGCTCATGCTCGGAAAGCGCCCGCCAGCATGCCGACACCTTTACAGGGGCAGGAGAGCATAGACGCAGGGTCATATGGGTCAAATGATGGAAGACGAACACTCAGCATTTTCGACGATCAGCAGGAAAGACAAATAAATGCTGCTATCTCAGGCTCTGGAGATCCGCGGCTATGTCATGCACGAGAAAAAATAGGATCGTGGAGGCAGTGTGGTAGATCCGGCGTGATCCTGCGACTATTGTATTTCGCTAGCGCGGCGTGGTTCATTTAGCCTTTGCAAAAAAGTAGGCTCCCACCCACCCTATAACTTCGCTCACCAACAGCACCACCTACAAGGCAGGCCATCCTCTCATCCGCCCACCCCTTACCGCTTCCCTCGTCTCGTGTGCTGCAGGCATCCTGGATAGATACCGCTCCGTCGCTTCCTCGGCTGCCAGTGCGCCTCCGCTGCTACCGCTGTCGGGAGGTTCCTTCTTTGCCCTGCCGGCTTCTCGCCGTTCACGCTGGCGGCGGATGCATTCTAGAGCCTCAAAATCTACAACCAGCCTATCGTACGTTACCCTGCGAGAGCACAAAGAGCGGTCAGTTGCGGCGGTAGAGCAACGGACAGAGCAAGGCCGCGTGAGATCACCAATCATCATTGGCGAGACCTTGCCGTTTGAATAAGTTGTTGCTACAGGCTGTAGCAATCACGAAGGGAATACGGAGACGGGCTCACTAAATCAACAACGTACACTCACACTTCCATTGAAGACTTCCAGGACCCGACAAGCCAAGGCGGCGGCTCCCGGCAACCAGCAACACGAGCTCTAGCTGTACACCTGTACCCACTAGTACCCAGCTGCTAGCTGGCTCACGACGGAGCAATCTCACAAATCTGCGGACCCCCCACTTAGCCTCCTATTTCCCCATAACTCCCTGAATCTCGTTGCCGGCCCCCGTCGAAATTCAAAAATCTCGAATCTCGGAGCGGACGCGTCCACATGACATACGCGATACACAGAGATCCTGTTCTAGGAACGACGGCGCTAGAAGCAACCCTGCAAGAGGGAGAGGGTGAGAGAACGAGATACCATCTTGTGATCTTCTACTGTGAGGGTGCTGCAAGCGGACTAGCAAGAAAGAGGTCGACCGATAAAGACCCTAGCTTGGCTTGTCGTCCCTACTATTGCTTGCCCAAGAGCGACGATATGCGGAAAAAACACCGCAAGCCTCGTGCCGCTGCTTGTGCTGCCACTGTACGCCACCAGCACGTGCGCCAAGACCGGCCTCGCCTGGTGCCGCTTTACTTACCCACTCAACTTCTTCATTGTACCCTCTATGGAATGGTTCCGGTTGTTCTCTCTCGTCGAGCAAGCGCCCAACAAGCTTTGGCCGGCGAGCAGATAGATCTTGATTGATGGAGATACAACATTGCGACGCTTCCATTCGCTCATGGCGCCGTTTTCACAGCTCTCAAACCGGCCCTTCAACCAGCGCACCCGGCCCACCGTCCCGCCCTCTAATCCCCAGGCCATCCCCCTCAGCTTCGCAGCCTCTGGAATTGACAAGACGAGCTTTGGCCGGCGACGGAGTGACAGGCACAGGTGGGGGTTGTTCTAGTGTTTGGCGCCAAATTGGACGCGGCGGGTGTTTTGGGGCCATTCGGGCGCGGCATTGGTGGGGCTGCTTACGCTGTGTTTTCGGTGGGGCGGTGGTGCTTTTTAAGGTCATCAACAGCGATGCGCTGGTTACGTGTACGTGGTTAGTGGATGCATTCGATGGTGGGCTGTACTTTGAACAGAGAAACTACAGTCTTATTTACAACGTGCTCGAAGGGATGTCTGCTGTAGTCTATGTAAATAGACTAGAGCTGTTAGAGCGGGCCGGTAGATCTCCGCGTCTCCTCCAGCAAGCTCCGACCAGCGCTCGCATCTCTGGGCGTAACAACGAAGGGCGAACTTTCGTGGGTACAAACGCTCCATCTCAGGCCCACAGATACACGAGTGTGTGCTGCCAAGAAGCTTGAAGGGGTCAGTTTGGTTGCTTGTTGGTTGTTGAAACCAATGGTAAACCTAGACTAAGTTTGTGTTGGTGTTGCCGCTGTTGGTGGGTGTCTTTGGCTCTCTCGCTCTCCGTGCGTCAGGCGATCGAGACGCCAGAGCAACGAGCTTGAGGGTTGGAGACTGACTAACTGAGGTGGAAAGTGCACGCCGGATCGTCGTAGCACCTGAAGGCTAGGATCGCCGTCGAGAATGCCCAAGTGGACCAAAGATGAGGTGAGCTACCATACTGAGGTTTCTGCTACTACTGCTGTCATTGAAACTACGATGGGCGTCGTCTCACAGGATCTGGTATGGTAGTCTACACGGCGACTGCTGTAACATGCACGCCGTAGACTCTGAGAATCTGTCCACCCGCAGGGATGACACTTCCAGTGAAGGCACTTCCATCTATCCGATCGTGTGTCGATAAATATTCTTTGGAGCTACGGACGACCAGACGAACATGATGCCACACCGTATCCGAGTCGGTTACATAGTGCCTCGTCCCTCTGGGTTGGCGTTCGCACTTCTTGCCTGCTGCAGGGATACAACACATAGGGGAGATACCCCTGTGTGCTGCTCGGGGAGTCGTAGAAACACAAATTGGTCACTGCACATCTTATTTGTTACGGATCCTTATCTGAAGAGATGAGATGGGTTTGAAGTTCTGTGGTTAGTAAGAAAAAATAATCACAAAATTGAGACAAAACTCGTCGTTACCTCCGTTCATGTTCTTGTTTCAGGATTCGCAATTGGAACAGCTTGTGGTCGCAGCCTCGGGGGCGGAGATCGACTGGGATAACATCTCGCAGGTGCTCGACAACGGCAGGACTGGGGCCCAGTGCTGTTCCCGCTGGCAGAAGGTTCTGCATCCGCAGACGATAAAGGGGGCGTGGACTCCGGAGGTGGGTTGGGGTTTAGCGTTGAGCTGCCACTGCCTTACAGCAGTGGCAGCGCGTGTTTGGAGAAGTATTGGTATGGACCGGACTTCGAAAGTAGGTGGTATGTTTGCAGCACGGGCTGTTGCATAGTGCAGGTCTATTGAGGATTATTCTTGGCGGCGAGAGGATGTTGCATAGGCCACCCGCGAGGCCATTCAACCGGAGGCGCGCCAGCCAGGAGCTGTACAGCCTCCCCTCCTCGTGCAACCAA